CCCCATCCCTTGTTCAATTTTATTGGCAACAAATATGTTTAAAGCTAAATAAATTTAAATTCTGAATATTGGCAAGTGTGCAATTAACTTCTGATGATGAATAACTACTGTTCAATAAGTTTTAATACGGACTTAGAAATCATATTACTTGGTTTCATAGTGCGGTAAGAAGTTGCAGTTGCCTGACGCCCCTCTCTGGGGGCCCCTTTGGAAACCGTTTCATCTCGCCCAGACCGCTCGTGTTTACTGCCTAGTCAGGTGACGTGACCGGCGCTATTTTTAGCAGGGCTTTCCCGAACAATTCAAGTGGTCAAACTGGACATTTGGAACGGACTATGAATATGGGGATAGCGAGGTAACATAAGTGGAAGTGCATACAATACATAGATTCATTAAAAAAAATATGGCTTTTCGCGTGATGTCCCTTTAACGTGATATTTGATATAAATATGATATTTAATATAATCAGTGTATTTGATATAATTAGGACATTTGATATTAACAGAATATTTTATAAAATCAGTGGATTTGCTATAAAAAGGATTATGATATAAACAAAATATTTTATATGAATAGGATATTTGATTTAAAGATATTTTATATATAAAGCGGGGTATATATATGACATTAACAGGAAAAAAGTTCCAATATGTTTCATATTCAAATTCTGACTTGAAATTAACAAAGAGTAAATACATGAAGGAACATAATTATTATAATGACTTTTTTTCTCAAATACTATATTGACTCCACTATAAAGACTTGATCTCTGGATCTTATAATCATTAACCCTTTCATCCCTATGTAACTTAAGTAGACTATTCCATGCATTTATATGGATGAGTCCATTATGGTCTACAGTGGTGAAAGGGTTAAAGCAAGGAGCTTAACCACTACACTATCGGTTGCTATTTATTCAGGGAATAATTTCAACTCCCTTAAAATGTCTGCAACATACTGTATACCAGGAAATATTCGCCGAGTCAAACTTTCGCTCTTTGCCCATGAAATCAATTTTCGCCCACTGTTAATTACGCCATTCACATTTAATTACAGTACTATGTTTATTATGCTATTTACAAATGTTCGCTGTAATGATAATTTGCCCTCATTACGGAGGGCGAAAATCAAACTGCAACTAAAATTTCCCGGTAGAAATAACAATATTCAACAGAAAAATACCTTTTCAGGCCTGTAAACAATAGAAAATTGGTAGAACGTTCACTGTGCGTAAGCTTAAATTTTCCCAAGAAAGAGACTTAAAATTGGTCCCAAATACAACCTAAATTCACAGCATGATGCATGTCCAAATGTGTTAACTTGGACAGACTGGAAAATTGCCATAATTACTATTGATGATGACTGATTCTGAGGTAAACTGATGGTGGACCATGTTGGAGCTGTCAGAACAGCAAAGGTGTGAGACGGTGTCAAGCTGAGAAATCGTTACAACAGAGACAGTCATATATAGCTTTGGAAGGAAAGGACACGTATCTAGTAACACATAGTAAAATGAAATTATTTGAATATATTAAGGAGCACCGGTCATTTTGTGCCCATAAAAGCATTAAATAGTTACATTTAAGCATTTAACAATGACATTGTTATATATATATAACTAATACTATTTGTAATGCTAATGTTGTTGAACGCCTCATATATATGCATTTTACAGCACTTGAACCACCATTAAAGTGTCATCATCTCACATGCTGAGATAATTAAATCTGCATAATACTTCAATTTCAATACTTTAGAAAAAAAATCTAAATGTGCCTTTATCATTTATTTACAATGAAAATTCTTATTCATAATATCATGAAATTTTCAGCTTTTTAAACAAAAAATAAATCCATGAAAAAATTCTATAAAGGAGACAAATATTAAAATTGTATTAATTTATATTAACCCTCTGGTTCGCTTGGATGGACACATACAAAGGGTATATAGGAGGAAATCAGAGTACTCGCAGAAAAAAACTGTGTTCGGACAAGGAACCTCGATGAAACGAGAGACTGTGCTAACAAGAGTCTGGCCAATCTATCCAACAACAGTGGAACTACACACAATCACCATTTGATAGGGTTGCTAAGTCCAAGATTTTGGTCTTTCCAATACAGTGTGCATCAAGTCTGTAGTCAAATGTTTCATCGTTCACGACGTTAGTGACCCCATGGCCACTATCTTTGCTGGAAGATTATTCCATGTGTCAATATTCTGTTCCTTGCATAAAGTCAAATGAAAATTTTGAAAGTTCATCGCTAAAATGCTTTTGTGCAGGTGGATCAAGCCCGTTCCTCAGTGGATTGAAAGCTCATCAAGATGTACAATATGTAATACCAACGACTGACCAACACAAATCTACAGCTACTACATTCTTCCCTCCCTCTTTTCTGTATGTTTTTGCATTGAAAACAACACTTTATAGTTTAGGCCAAAAAAAAAGTCTGTTTAGGGTTCCCCACCGACCCTAGCTTTTTACCCCGACCCAAAACTTTAAGATTTTTTCTGATTTTTTTTTAAATAAAAAATAAAAAAAAAAGGCAAATTTTCGAATTTTAGAAGGTTCCTTGTCTTTCAAAATGGCTTCCAGCTCCGTGTTGGCGCTAAATGTCAGCATATGGAGCACAGTTTGCCTCCAAATGAACCTTGTTTATGTAATTCTTTGTTTTACATACAATAGTAGGGTCATAATCACATGACCACACGGTACACAAAAATATACATTTTTTTTTTAAATCGACCTACCTACCCTTGTTTGTTTTGCCCATGCAACCCTAAACAGACAATTTTTATTTTGGCCTTACAATACAGGTTCAGGTATATTCATGCCACTGAGGTCAATAAGTACTAATTGCAAGGGATTTCAAGTACTAATTGTAAGGGGTTTCTAAATCCACAAACTTAAATTTGCTATCAGCTTGGCTGTGTTTATTTGAAACCTGATATTTCTAAACAGTGAGCAGACAGGTTATAGACTGCAATGCTATCTGGTCAGTGCCTGACAATGCAGATAAAGGCCTTGTCCCACTCAAAATGTGCGTAAATGTTCCCGATTTAATGTCACAAAAATATATTTCCTTATTTTAGTTCATACATACATATTTATGTAGTTAAAAGAAAATTGACAGATCTAGGTCATGCAAGGAATTGTTAAATTCAGAACAGTATCTGGTTGTCTTACATTGTATAGTTTTGAAAATGTTATCTTTATCATTGCTGCATATGCCACTGATATATCAAAAACCCGTGTAGATCTACTAAATATAAGAATAGACACCCATGATAACATTTCGTCCTGGCTTGTCTCCCTTTGATTAATTTGGCCCAATTAACAAACACATAAAAATATCAGATCTAGAGTAAATCTAACGGCGCGAACATCGCCTCTAGTGATTCACGGTACACCTATGTACTCAATCAAACATGATCCACATCACCAGCGACAGTCTGACCGATCGTACGTGACGAAACATGCATCGTCATACTACGGCCATGAGCGAGTAGCTAACGTTACAATTACGGTGACATGTCCAACCTGTAACTCGTGATCACCAGCTTCCACTTTATGTAAACCTGCCGGTAAATAGAAACCTTCATATATTGGATAAAGAACATAAAATAGAGAAAAGACACTTACCTTTAAGCTGATCAGAATTTTAAGCTGAAACAAATCTCTCGATGGATATTATCGACAGATTTTTTGACGAACCACGTTATTTACAATGACAACACACACTCCAATCGGGCTAAATGGGCACCTTCTCTGTGATTGGCTGATTTTTAAGCTACATGTACTAATCTCGTTTCATGTTGACGTACCATGCTACTTTCGCTTTGTTCACCAATTTTTTGTTTTAGGTTATCATAAATACACATTTAAATCGTTAAATGAATACATTTTATGAATACAATTAAGTGCTTTATTTGATAAAATATGAAGTACTTCGGTACCAGCGAATTTTACGGAAGCCTATGGAGATACGGTCAACAAGCCGTCTAACAGATAACGTAGTCAGCCTAAATCTCAACCCCTTGATAACCATCACTGAATCACTGGTTGACATCGTGTTAAGCCAATGGCTTATGTATGATGTATGATCCTTGTTAATAAACTTCTGCTGGACACGACTTCCTTCCGGTTTCGCAAGCATGCAGGTTGATTTTCAATAATTGTAATTAACTATTAACAATATATATATATATATATATGTACATTTATATACAGTTTCTTTGTGATCATATAATTTCCCCTTGGTATTATAGCGGTTCTGAGACTTATTTATGTAACGCTTCGGTTAGAGTAATATATTTTGTATCTACAATACAGTTATTAAAAAGAACACACACATCAGAAGCGAGTCAGAAACTATTAATGTCATTTACAGCCTCCCGACACCTATAAGCTCCGGACGACCTAGGTATTAAAATGGATTTTAAATAATATGTCTTTTCGTAGCATTCAGTTGGGTCGCAAAACTGACTGACATGTTAATTATATGTCAAGTGAGCTATTCTAATGAAGACATCAGCTTTAATGCTTTATCATTGACTTCGTTAACCTGGTTACGTACCTTTTAAATAGCTTATGTACAAGTTCAATATATTTGAATTACATATATATGTTCGGATTTGTTATAAGGGTCTTTGAATGTTACTAATTAGGGGATTGAAATTAAGGGAGACTAATACATATTTTAGGGGTCGTTTTCGTTCGACCCTCGGAAAAACATGCATTTCTCGATGCTGCTACAATAATCTCTCTTACCAGCATGTGCTAGGAAATAGATCAATCAACCAATCAGTTAAAAATGAATGAATGAAAACGAATTATTGAAAATGTATAAATGCCTACACATAAGTGAATGAAATTAATGTAGAAAGACTGAGTGAAAAAAATACGGCCTTATACCCATACCCTGTCAGTTTCTAAAACGAAAGCTGATAGTGTATGAAAAGTTAGTTTATTATTATGTAATAATGATTTATTTCAGAGCAAATACATCCGAACGAAACATTTTAAGGAAAACGTTTTGGAAGGAGAAACAATTATTGATATATATTATTGTACAAAAAATTAACTGGTTGCCTAAATCTTATAAATGAAAATATACATTCTGAATATATCATCGCGGTCAAAACATTATTTGTTATGAAATTGCCCAAAGCAACGAGAAAAGGAAAAAAACACTCCTCCAGAAACATATTTAAATAATCTTTATGTAAAGTACGTTTAGGTGCGCCTTCGCTTTTTAGTTGATGTTCGTGTTATTTTTCCTTCCCTCCTCAGTTCCTGTTGTTTGTCTGTTTATATCGAGTTTTTGTTTCAATAGTGTTTCCATGATTGATCGATTGATTGGATGATGATGATGATGATGTGTAATGATATGATGATGATGTGTAATGATATGATGATGATTGTATATAAAGAACGATTAATTATGATTATAATGTGCGGATGATGAAAGTGATGATGATGATCTTATGTTTTGTAATCGTGTTATATGATAATGAATTAAGATTTATGATAATTACTGGTACATGATGTTGACTGATGAAGGGTGATTGATCGATCGATTGATTGAATGATCATGATGATGATGATGATGATGATGGTGGTGGTGCATGATGATGATGATGATGGTGCATGATGATGATTTTGTTGTTTTATGTATAGATAAAGCTTGAGGGGAAAAACAAAAACAAAAACAATCAAGAATTATACTTTGTGATGTTAAGTGATGTTAGAGATGAAAGGGATCCGCAAGGCATCGTCATGTTAAACTTAATCTTTGGTATTTCTGTGATGATTTTAGAAGTATAAGAACGTACTGCCTATACGCCTTTCGGTTGGTCAGTTTCTGATATCTAGAACCAGAGACGTATAAATACAGAGATTGGCAACTCTCGCTGATCTCGCAAAATCACGCATGATCTACGAGTGTTTGTTTTGACAGCTTATCGACCTGGTGACGATAGTCTGGTCAGTGAGTTACCTGTGTGAGAGTTTGATCGTGTATTCGTTAGTTCGTGTCAACATGTCACTTATCCTAGATATATGGATCATATAAAGAAGCTGGTTAGAAATATAATGTTATATCTGAATACGTTTTTGAAATAAAAAGATGAACGAGAAAGGAGTGCCGGTGTCATGAAAGGAATTAACTCTCGCACATCACAGCCGCCATTTTCACATGGTTATTTTAAAGTGTATTTTCAGAGCTCAATTATCAAACTTTGCAGGTATTGTAACAACCTCATTTTAATTTCCTGGTTAGAAATATTATCATATAACTAATTTCTGAAAACTTTTTTGAAATTGTCTAAAGAAAAAAAACGGAGATAGTGTTCAAAATTTGTCATGATAGAAATAACCCTCAAAATCAGAGCCGCCATTTTAACTTGATTTCTCAGAAAAACCTGTCTTTTCACAGCTGAATTATGAAACTTTGCAAGTATTGTAACAACCTCATTTAAATTTCCTGGTTAGAAATATTATCATATAATTAATTTCTGAAAACTTTTTTGAAATTGTCTAAAGAACAAAAACGGAGATAGTGTTATCCTGAAGCCAGAATAATTACCGATATGTAAACACAGCCACGATGTGCAATCTTTCGATGTTTGGGGTTTTCTAAACTTAATCATTCAAGTTTACATTCAATGTAGCACTCCCAAACCGCATGGAAATCTCAGCTACATTTTGTAGCTACGTACGGTTTTAATGTTACGTTGATTTGCGATGTTTTCTCATGGCATAATTATGATTTGAGTTGAATGCAGCGAACCGCATATCCAATATGGCGCAGGTGAAGCGTAACTCTCGATACCAGTGACCAACCAATCAAACAGAGTACTTATTGTACGCCTTCGATTCTCTCACGAGAAAAATCCATGATGCAGATTAAATGTGATATGGAGAACGGAACCTTTTAATTTCGACGATGTTGTATGATCTATTCCAATGACGAGTTCAGATGATGTATTCGTGCGTCACTGATTAATATAGGCTATTACAACCGGTATGAAAACGTTCACGACTGTTGGCTTCCTGTTTACCGCACAGCAGCATTGCAATACCTATTAACACATTTATCCAGGCATAAGGGCGCACCGTGTGGTGCCATCCTCGATATCGAGGGGTTACGCTAATTAACTATGTCAAAGCAAAATTGAAGGTTCGGTGTGCGCCACCTTGTTGATGAGACAAGAAGACTAGTTCTTGAACATCAAAAGAATCTCGCGATCATGTAACGGTAAAAATTGACAGGCTTTGAAGTTGGGCGTCTCTCCTTTGTAATCTTCAAAGGAGAGGTATCAGCCTAGCGATTGGTCATTTTTTTTACCTGAGACCAATCAAACAGCTATCTTCGTGCCTTCATCGAGGATGGGGCGCACCATATTATAATATGATAAAATTCAAAAGGCCACAGAATAAAACACTTATGAGAAACAAGTTTTATAAAGACACACTAAAAATCAAACGCAGAACATTGACATTTCCGTTTCTCTTTACTCCTCGATACAATTTTACATAACAAAGTGTAGTAACGATGACGCAACAGAAGGATTTGTCTTGACCACAATGTACTGATTTTTTTTATATAACGTATTTTGTACATGTACCATATTTTACACTGCATTTCCCCAACTCTCCTCTAACTTCCCCTGTCATTTATTCACGTCACTATCCCTAAGCTATAGTTGTTAATGTTGGTTACGATGAAAGGTAACAGATTTATTTAAGTGTACTAACACTTGTTTCTGTCTCCAATTCATTTATGTTTCGTCATGTTTGTATTATGTATTACACATGTTATGTGAATAAAACAAAGTTTAAACTGAGACAGGTTTGGAAATCTCATTGTCATACATTTATTGCTAGTACACATTAACAGACAAATAAGTTGTGGAAGATTTTTACATCACAACCAAACACGTGGAACATAATTCGCAATGGATTTGGTCTATCTATATCATTAAGTTTGTCGAGGATTATTATACAGTATTGAAAAAAATAGAATATCCCGTTGTCAACAAAACCCAAAATCGATAAAATTAGGGTAAGATATAAGCAAAATGTAAAATAAAAGTATTTAAGATAGAGACAGCGATGTGTCACCTTTCAAACCACGAATCTGTGGATACAGTGACTATAGGATGATAAATGGTGATGCTGGGTCACGGCACAGGAGGAAGAAGTTACTTGAGGTCGAGTGGAGGTCAATTAGTTCGGAAGTGGTTGTACAAATATACAAATGGATTAGACAACAAGTTATCACAACTTAATAGAGTCCTCTCCTCAATACATATGGTAAAAATAATTAAATGTTTTTTGCGGAAAGGGAGAAAGATAGGATGAATAAGGAAAGGTCGGAAGAAGGAGGTGGGGGTGAGG